TTATGGATTATCTAGAATATTGAAACCGTACATCGCGCTTTGCGTATACTTCTCTAAAAAGAAGGTGTTCTAATACCTCTGATAAGTTGATAATGATGAAGTGTAACGATGCAGCCCTCATGCAGGGTTGGTATCAAGGGATGCCTGCTGTGATGGTTCTAATTCCACAGCGACATTTTTGAAAATTTTTGATACTTATAGCATCGGTGCCGATACCTCACTGAGATGTGTTGAAAAGGTATGAGAGACATCTATCGGACGTATCTGTGAAACGAAATTTAGGGGTGACATAGAGTTGTTTTAGAAACCTTTCCAAACCGTCTGGACACATGACATGTTTTCAAGATGTTTCAACAAACCACTGAAAGGTTTTGAAAACATTTTTGAAACGTTTCGACGATACAAAGGAATGTCATGCCTCTCACCGAAATGTTTCAAGAATGTGTCAGATATATTTCTGCGACGAATTTGTGGTGCCGATACCTCACTGAGATGTGTTGTAAAGGTATGAGAAACATCTATCGGACGTATCTGTGAAACAAAATTTAGGGGTGACATAGAGTTGTTTTAGAAACCTTTTCAAAACCGTCTGGACACATGATATGTTTTCAAGATGTTTCATTGAAATGTTTTAAAGAAATTTTTTCGGATCAATGACACATTTTAAAAACATCTTCAATCTGACCTATGCTACCAGGGTCCAACACAATTACCTTCGGCAAAACGAGTCGGTCCTCTGAAAAAGTGCCAGCAGGCATTCTGGGTATGTCTTGGTTCCCGGAAATTGGGGACTGCTCCCCCGGGTACGCCTGAATCGATACCTGGATAATTTTTAGAGCACCCTTGGGCAGTTTCTGTTCCGGTAAGGGCGGATGCTTCTCAGCTGAAAGTCGTTTCAATTTTTTGAGAATTTCAGATGAAATCTCCGATGAGTCATCTTCATAATGCGGCAACCAACACTCAACACCGACCGACAGCACCATGACCGCAAGATAAGGAAATAACCTCATCGTAGTTTTACTTAAAAAATGCACTTTTTATCGCACGATTTTTGGAAAAGAAGACACCGGTAAAATCAAACGCTTAAAGCCTCTCAATACACGCAACGCTAACGGTCAACCTTCTGATGCAATCACGGCACTAATTTCATTGTAAATAAATTTAAAAATGCACTTAAATCGCTCGTTTTTTCAGAGAGAAGTGTCCCGGTCGAAACCATGCTCTCACACTAAATAAGGTTAGTTTTAAAGTAGACAACGAGGAGACCGATACTACTGACATGTGGCATATCAGCATTTTTAGTGATAAGCTTTTCGAGCCTTTAATTCGACTTCGTGACCCTGATAACGTGCCGTCTAACTGACATTGTTTCAGTGCCTACGTCATGATAGTTATGCTGACTACGACCAAGTGACCTCGGAGCCCACTTGGGTCTATCTCACTCTTACTTAATCTTCCTGATTTGCTTAGGACCTCCATCTCTTGTCAAAAGCCGCACACCTGCTAAAGTTTTAAGCAATGATTTTTGGGGGGATTTGAAAGTCTTACAATGCGAGCAGTTACGTCTATTTTTGTACCAAAAGATTATGTTACTTTAACTACTTATTTTGCACTGCCACATAACATCAAGCCTCCACAACTGCCGTTCTATTTGATATTTGTCTTGGACTTTCGTGTCCCAAGATACCCTACTCTAAAAACATCTGTAGCAGTGGTACCCATACTTATGGGCTATATAAACATACCGTCCGT